TTTTACTGCCACTTGAACGTTTTGGAGGAATATGGGAGTTCAAATCAAATTGCGGTGGTTTTAAAAGCTGCGGTGTTTATGGTTGTTTTTGAAAATTTCGGAATAAGCGTTGTATGTACTAAGTTCGAATTGGTTGTGAACTGTTTGCTGATTTTACGAAAATGTTGAAACAGTCGTTGTGTTGTATTGATTCGTGGGAAGTCCAATTAGATAAGAATAGTTAAGATTTTTAAAGTTGCAATTTTCCTGCGTTTGTTTTTGTTAAATCTCTGTCTCGACTATTCGTAGAATCTATTAAATGAATTCTGATGCTACTGACAAAGATGCTTTAAAATCTTTTTTTTTTTTTCTGAACTGCTTGCTCCACTAGCTTGCTGGCGTAGTAGTCAGCCAGAGTTTGTTGAAGTTTTTCTCGAGTGGCCAATGTTCGCTACTCGTTCGCTGTTGCACTTTGGCGTACGCACCGCCCCAGAAATATTTCTTTTTCACTTTCGGCCCACTTTCATCTTTTTACACTTGCGGTTTTCAACCTTACCTGGTTCATCTGTGATAGTTGCACCTCGCTAACTTACTGGTGATCGACTGTTACAGTTTCGACTTAATCCTCAAATCGTTTTACAAAACCGGCTTTTCCGTTTCTGGTGGTGTAATGAGCAGTGATTGGGTAACGTGGTGTGATTGTGATGGGGTTTAGAACTCTAAGCGTACATGAGGCTGGTGTTTGCCCATGTTTTTGCTACGATTTTAGTGTTTGAAATTCACTTGCTTTTGTAATTCATAATTCGTAGCTGGAAAAGTAGATGGAGAAGTGGTTCCAAAAGTTTTTTACCGCAAGTGTGTAGGTACGTAATATTAGAATTCTTCTTTAGTTATTTTTTGGCCAGGTCGAGGTTCCATAAATTCTGTGTGTTGGTGAAGTGCTGTGATCAAATGTTTTTGGTTCGGCCAGGAAATGTTTAACTTTTGTACGGAAGGTGGATTCGAGCTGCAGGATGTAGTCATTACCTGCCGTGTCAAATGCTAGTGGTAGGACGGTATTGCGAAATGCTAGGAGAATGGAAGCAAAACTTCAGTATCAAACTGATACATAATTAGAGGGGAGTGTGTCGAAAGGTGCGAGGCTGGCGCACCTGAACGAAAAGTAGATGGGGATTACATTTACAGTTTAAAAGTGGGGATTAACTGTTAGAAAAGCGTGTTTAGGGGCAGGTACTTGTAGCTGCTCCGAAGTTCTTCAACTGTTGTCCTGCTAGTGCTGTGCGAACAGTGGCGCTGGAAGTCAAAATGTCATTTGTCAAAGCTGTTTTTCACTGAACATCTTTGGTGGGATTACGTAGCTGTAGATAATTGGTTTTTTCACTAACAGTCGATTTAGTAGTTCGCTTGCCAGTTTATTTCAGAAGTGGGTGAGTGAGAGTCCCATCTTTATTTTTGATGACTCGATTTGTCCCTCAGAAAGATGAGGTTGAAAGAAAAACATTAAATCTTGCAACTGTGCGAGGTTTGTTCGTGTCGACTATCTTTACATCCTATGGGTGGATGGTTTTACAGTTCATCTTGAGAAGAATGATAGTAGCAGACTCAAACTTTTTTGCTTTGTGACGTCAAATTTTTTGCTAGTATTATGCTTGAGGTGCGAAGAACACTGAACTAATGATTCAACTGTTGTCTGCAAATGGGTAAATGATAACATTTTAATTTGTTTTGTATTTCGTAGTTGATACTCGTTATTAATGTTTCTACAATAAAAAAAACATTTTCAGTCGGTCTCACACATACTGAGGCACATGCAAATTTCTCAAGCACACAAATATACACTCACTCGCACGAAAACACACAAACAAAGAAAAAAACACAGATTCACACGGTTGCACACGTACACAGATCAGTTTGTATGACACTCGTTGATTACATGTATCCACGTACCGATGACGTCATACACGGACGATATCACTTGGGCTGTATCCTAGGTTTTGAGCACGGGTCAGAAATATAAATTCACACATATCACAGCTATGTATAAATATCAGATCCGGAACAGAAGGAACACTAATAATGCTGCTAGTGGTAAAGTGAAAGAGTATGTTGCGGCAGAACCTGAAATAAATACAGTAATGTAAGATCTGTTGTTTTACAGTGGGATCTTGATTTTCTGGCCTAGTTCTAAGCACGCTTTTTGCTTACGCCATTTATTTATCATTGTACTTAATTGTACAATGACCTTAGTCAAACTCTCGAGGTCTTCTCAAAAATACATGGCTGGAATTATGGTAAGAAGAAGGTTTGCATTACCTCTAGTCCTAATATCACTAAGCGATATCGTTGTAGTACTTTCTGGTTCAGCTTCTGCGTCAACTGTAGCATCAGCGTCCTCATCATGATGTTCTTGTTCGTGTCCGAGGACTGGATTTTCTGCTTCAATTGGCTTTTGTGTTGCAGACGTAGGCTCTGGCTCTGGTTCAGGTTCTGCCTGAGGTTCAGGAGTCGGCTCTGCTTCGGACTTCGGCTCTGTTGGTTGAAGTTCGGGCTTTGGTTCCGGTTCAGGAGTTGGCTGCGGAACAGGTTCGGGTTCTGGAACTGCTTCACCAGCAGTTTCCTTAGATGCAGGTGTTGTTGTCTGATGTCCCGTTGTCTCAGTCATTCCAAGTTGTGTCTTATCTTCCGTACTTAGTTCTGGTTTGGTGGTCGAAACTTCTGTGTTTTTACTTGGCAGTGGCGGCTTTGTGCTCGTGTCAGTCACCATCCCAGTAGCAGTTTCATGGACGTTTCCTGTGGTCTCACGATTAGGAACCGTACTGACTACCTCCAGTGAGTATGGTTTCGTCAACGTGCATGACTTGTTGAAGGCTTGGGTCCAAGCAACGTGGGTATTATATACATGTTGTAAAGCCAGTATACCACACTGTTGGTGAATAGTTGCGGCAGCACAACTTAGAGCGGATTCGACGCTTAAATGAACAAACATATTGTAATGAAACAGACTTTTGGTAGCTGAGAGAGGTCAGTAGAAGTCGAGTAATTTTTTGCAGTTTTTGGCTAGGAAGGACAATAACTAGGATTCTGCAGAATTAGCAACAAAAAGTGATGACAAGGATACCTTGAACAAAGGGCTGCTGGGCCCTCTTTAGTAAATAAATCAACTGCACCGAATGGTTTCAAACATTTTTGACCCTCTTCAGTAGCGATATAACGGGACAGACAGGGCGCAAACGAAGGTGCTTTTAATACACTGCTCTCATCACCACAAAGAGCCTTATAAAAGGTTGTAGTTCCAGAAGTTAGTGGTTCTAGTTTGCAAGACATGTTTGCGGCACATCTTGTATAGTTCACTGTGGCCGCGCAGAATTCATCCCATTGGGAAGCATTCCTAAAATAAAGGATTTTTACTGGTTTCTCTGCTGGATCTTCAGTCGTACAAGTCGCTTCTAGAGTTAAACTACGAACTTCAAATAAGCAATTGGCGTAAAACTGTATGGATCTGTTACAGCTTCACATTGAAGATATTCTATAAGGTCGGTTTCCGAGCACTCATTCTTCGTAACCGATGGTTTAATACGAATCAGACAAGGGCCAACCTAAGCAAAAGTAGATGACTACACTTTTCTTCTGTCATGTTTCTAGTTTCTGATTATGTTAAGATACGTAAATCACATACTTGTTGAGAGAATGCGTTCATCGCTTCAACTGAAAACTGTAAGCCATCCGTACCGCATTTTTCTAAAACTAATGGGGCAGTGCAGTCTATAGTTCGGGTCATCGCTGAGCAATGCGGAACTCCTGGGTTGTTAAAGTATGGCTCAAAACATTTTGCACCCTGCGAATTACAAATTAGAATACGGGAATATGGAGATGGCAGTTTCTTACAATTTCTAGATTAGTTCTTACATGAAAGATATGTTATTAGACTTACCACCGTTGAACTTGCTACGGTAGCCAAGCAAGCGGAATGCTTTTTGAACACCTCTTTTTTAACGCACGCAAAAGTCAACATTGCCATCATAGCTCGCTCCCTGTCAGTCTCACAAGTCGGTACTGCACACGCAGATACAGCTCCTAGATCCGTGCACAGCTAAAATTAACCGTAATTGGTTACTCTAATTTTAAACTGTAAGTGATTGTGTAGCAAAACGATCTACTATTTGATCTATCTAGATCTTAAAGATACTTAAAATATACTTTGTCCACGTCGTATTCACCATTTAGAATACTGACGGGTACCATGACGTATTTGTTAAAGAAATCTGTAGTACACGTCGAATGTTTTTCTTGTAGTTCGGCAGGGCAGGCAAAGTTAATTGTGTTTTCTAACGCGATTGGACAATAGTCTGTTGAACTTATTGCTCGTAAAACGTTTAATGGAGTCTGCCCACATCGTTCTACAACAATATGTTCTACGCAGTTTACAAACTGAGGTAGTACAGTGCGGAGTGTTTCAAGAGTGAAAACTTTCAACGTCGATATAGTTGAACGAATACATTTCGCGAACTCCTGATCTGCCGCCTAAATTTTTAAAGCAAATATTCTGGATAAAAAATTAATTTGTTGAGATTGTAAAAGTAATGTATAGATATATTTTGAGGATTCCTGTAACGAAGAGCACGATTGATATCTTTACTTGCTTGAAAACACAGTTCAAGTTTTCATCTATGGCTGCAGCTGTATCCGACTGGCTGCATATTCCATCTCCAGCTCGGATCATACAACTGGAGACTACGCATGCTGTATTACTTCCAAGCACAGGTCGAGCACAGTGACGAAATTCCATTGTCAAGTTGCATCCTTGTGCGAAAACAGGGGCCAGATTTTTAACGTTTGATAAAAATGATTGTAAGCCACCCTGTCAAAAAATTGGCAGTGTTAATCAATAAATATTTTCTGTCTCGAAAATTGTATGTACAACAGTTTTGTTGCAAAAACTTTGATACTGTTGAAGAACATTAGTTGCGTAAGTCATAGACAACTGCTCCCGTTGAGTGTATCGGTAAGCGTAGCTTAATGCTTGCATAATGTAGACTTTTGACGATGAAAAAATTTAACTTACTGCGAACAATTCGTCCAGCCGCAGTGATAGTTCATTAAGCGGTGCTGCGCAATGTTGTATCAAAGAGTCTTCTTCAGCAGTACAGTTATGAGTCTGAATACCGGCTCCTATAAAGAATATTGTTAAAAGCTGTTGCTTTTCTCTGTTGGAAATTTTGTGAAGCCATTGTGTTGTATTAAGGCTTGCATTCAGAATAACTTCCAGTGATAGGAGCGACACTGTTGCTACTGATCACTTTTAGTTTATTTTGAAAAACTTTTGTATAAAAAAATATTGTGCTCATTGTATTTATCGGTACAGATATACTATGAACAGTCCAGTATTTTTCCGTGTTGTTGTCTTGTTTTTATAAAGATGTATATTTTAATTGGAGGATTTAAGTGAAAAGTAGACTAGATTAGGGAAGAATTTTTTTTTTTTTTGAAAGTTCCGGGATCGTAAAATGCATAGACAAATTGATTCTTTCTACTGGAAATAAGACTTATTTTTGGTAATTTTAATTAGGCCACATAATTACATTATCCGGTCTGTCTTCGCCTACGATTTATTAGCTCAGCAATTTTAACGCACCTTCCTGAGAGTATTACAAAATTTTGCTGCTTTTTTAATTATTACAGTCATATTTGGTGCTCCAAACCTAGTTTATTGTTTTAAGAGAAAAAACTGGAAAAAGTTTTTGGACAAAAAAAATGTAAAAAGCATTTTTTTGAATAAAAGATTCATTTGCTAATTAGTGTTTTAGGCAAATAACGATGTTGAATTTTTTCAGAATATGACAAAAATATGATTAACGTGTGGAACAGATTATTTATCTGCAATATATAAAAAAGAATGTAAACAAAAGAACGTATAAAAAAATAGTAGTGCAAGCTGAGCTGTCAGGGAAGAGTGTTTTGAACTTCTCGACAGTAGTTGCGATTCAAGAAGCCGGAGATCAGAATTAGTAACTAGTGGCTAAAATGATTTTGGTTGTCACCCGTATAAAACGGTGACGTTAAGTCTTCATTGCAATATAACTGAAAGTGTAACAGGTATAGATGTCTAAGAAACAATCTCTGAGCGCCCACATAAGGCTAAAAATATCAACCCAGAATCTTTAGTAAAGAGATATCAGACAATGTACTACGCTACGGCAGCCAAGGAAAGGTACTGCTAACTTGATTCCTTTTCTTTTTACATTTAAGTATTATTTGTCATTACATTTTACGACAATGTTACACCAGATGTAACAAATTTACACCTAATTTCTAACTCTCTAAAATTATAATTTTTAAAATGATTGCTTTCTTTTTATTTCTTTCAGTGACCTCGAAAAACATCTTGTCACATTTAGAAATCTGTCATTTTAAAAAGTAGCTATAAAAATTTTAAAAAAATTAAACATCTACTACATCTCTTTTTTTTTTCGAGGATAACGAGTGCATATATTGCGCATATTTAAGGGATTTATTGAGATCAAAAACTTGGTGATCTTATCGCAGACGAAAACCTAAAGTACAGAGTGCCTCTCCACCATAAATTTATGAATTCTTAAGGACGTTATAAGTAAAAAAGATATTAGAAGAAGAAATATATCTTAAAAGACAAATAACCGTGATCAGCAGAAAAATGCCTAGTTTTTAATTTTGGTCAGTTATGACCAGCCAAACAAACAGTTTTTTAGCAGTGATAAGCGGATGGACATTAAACGTTCATCGGTAAATGAATGAAAAAAATAAATGAGATGTGTATGGTTTTCTAGTCCTTAATCCTTTCAAAACTACCTCATAATTTTCGCAAGATTATTGCAGTAACAAAGAAACTTAATAATTACTGTAAATGAACATAAGCATCTGAAATTACTATTAAAAAAAAAAAAAAAAGATAGGTAGACATTTTCAAATATCTTCATAATTTTTAAAAATTAATTTTTTTTTTTTTATTTTTATGTACAACAAATATTAGAAGTTGGGGCAAACTGTACCAAATTTTGATACGGTCGCCTTTTTTGTAAATCTTGGAGTTTTTTCTTTAATCTACGTTTCGTTGTTATTTGCTGCAACGATCATATCCATTGACCTTCACACTGAACTTACCAATTTTGAAAAAGGAATTTTTATTACACCCAAATTAGACCGTCGAAAATTGTTTTACTGAAAAGGTGAACAATTTTTCTTAACGCGATTTACAACGGTTATTGAAAATTATAGAAAGTCTTTTTTTTTTCAACTTATCAATTAAAGCAAAGATTTTGTCACTTTACTAATCCTTTATTAGTGCATGTTTTTTAAAAAAAATAATAATAAAAATTAAAGTTCTTTTCACCGCCTTTTTTGTACCTCAAACCACTTATTTTCTTCACTGAAATCCGCTTCAGCGCATTTCTGAATAGGTTCTACAAAAAATGAAATTGTCTTTCCCAATCTACAGACTAAAAAATAACACGTACAAGCACCGCTGATTTATACAAAAACACGCCTTACCAGTGAGCTTTCCTCCAATTTTGCATGCTGGGTCTATTGCAGTTGCAAAAGTTGAAACGTAATTTTTCACAAAATCGCCAGCAGCAGCTCCGCATTTTTCCGCGATTATTGGCTGAGCACATGCCAAAAGCGTGTTTGAACTTAAACAAGCATACTGTGGTTCACCTCGTGAAAATGCAGTAACACATTCTCGGACATCCTCACGTGTTGTCACCTTTCTGACACATTGACGAACCTGCAGTGACACTTTTGTTGTAAAATGACCCTGTTTCTTCGTATGGCTTGTAATCAACCTTTCGCGCTCAGAGCTCAACAGTCTACCAATTCTTCAAGAGCTCAAAAAGAAAAAAAAATTTAGATATTTTCAGTGCCAAAGAAAAACCTGAATGTAATTATTGTATCCTTGACCGCAAGCATATTCAAACATTGCTGACATCCCAACCGACCACAGTGGGCGACAACTAATGTTAGCCTGACACAGCTTAAATTGCCTAAATTGAGCACAGGCATCGTCGATGAGCTTTGGCTGTTTGATCACTGCTAATGGATGTGGCTGGAAGTTTGTCATGGTTTGAACGCAAGCCTGGAATTTCTTTTGCTCCTCCGGATCACATACAACTTTTGGCAATGAATGTGCCGTAGGTGCTGCAATTGGTGGTCGCTTCATTGTGCTTAGTTGTTTCTCAATAATTTCGTTCAAATTTTGTGGCTGTTCTGCTGGGCAGCCTTCTTCAATGCCGTAGACAGTAATCTGAAAAAAGAAGTCATTTGGAGTCCAGTCACTCAAAGGCAGAATAAATAAGTAAAAAGACGAGTGATTTGCTACACAACCTTTACGCTAAAACTATTGACTCTTTTACAATCATAAAACTAACCTGTTCTCGTAACTGCAGTAAATCTGCCCCGGCTTCTTGAGAACATTTTTCAGAGACTAATTCTTCAGCGCAGTCAAAGGCATTTCGAATAGAATAAAAAGACTTGCAGAGTAGAGCTTCACCATGAACGCCCTTCAAATATCAGTTTGATTACTATACAAATTGAGGATCGTCACACGGTTGACAGTATTTAATTAGCTAATTTTTCTAGTTTATCTATTATTGTTTTAAAAAAAAAGATGCTCTACTGTTCTAGGCAAACTAAAATTTTACTTGTAACATCATATTAACTGAGTTTCCAAGTTCCCCAAGCCACATCTGACATTTTGCTGCATTGCTCTCAATTTCCTTTATACAGTCATGATTCTTATTTAGCAATTCACGGGTGTTGTTATCACAAAGTGGTGAGAGTCCAATTCTGTAACCAAAAACTACACTGTTGCTAAATTAAGAATAGAAAAAAAAACAAATTTTTGAGGAAATTATTACTGTACCTACAGTTTACAGAAAGAGTAGCAGAAATTTTTTGGCAGTTACAATAACAAATAAAACAAAAGTATTAGTTCGTTTGTTTCATTTTTGTTTTTTTTTTTTTTAATTTGTTTAAAATTGCTTTATTACTATTGACGACAACTGTAAAAAAAAAAGTTACACATTTCTTAATTAAACAAGAAAAAAAAACAAAAAGAATGCTGACCTTGCTAAGGTGTTAAGTGGTGAGTTAAAAGAGCAACGAGTGTTATCAGATGTTGTAAACACATTGACATCAAGGCATTCGGTATAGTTATCATATAGGTTACAAATCAGATTCATTAAACTTGAATTACTATTGCTAATTTCAAGTAAAAAGTTTAGTGATTGGAATTGTACCATGTATTTGTTCAGTTCAGTGAGTTGAACCAAGCATGATAATGCTATATTCTCCTGCAATAATAATAATAATGATAATAATAATAATAATAATAA